AGGGTTTCACCATATTGGCTGGGCTAGTCACGAACTCATGACCTCACATGATCCACCCACTTTAGCCTCCCAAAGTGCTGGGATTACAGGTGTAAGCCACTGCGCCTAGCTGTCTACCTTTACACCTAGTGCTCGACTTACGACCACGATTGGTTCCGACAGACCATTCGTAACACGATTTGGTCATAAGTTGAGTAGGCTATATGCACATGGAGATGGTAGTGCTGCCAGAAGCTGCTCCGCCCTGTCCTATGCCCAGCTGGGCAACGTTTGCACTGCCAGACGCGGAGCAGTCGTGGCTAGTGATTGTGGTCGTAAAGTCGGTAGTAAGTTGCATAGGTCGTAAGTCGATCAATACCTGTACTTTGAACATAGCACCCTACCATTCTGAGGTAAGGAAATTTAAGTTCAATGACCCTAAACAGACAAGTGCCTGTCTTGTCTTAGCCTAGCAGCTAATCCTGAAGTCCGAGAACTGTACCAGTTTGACAAAGATCGGTTTATCTCTAGGAATTGAGACTTTTTTTTTTTAAGGGAAGGGTAGATCCAAATTGAGTGAGTCCCTACACTCAATTTGTAGGGACTACGCTAACATGAAAAGCAATTTATAGGAGTCAAACCACAGAATCATAGAATAAAGAGCAACTCTACAATAAAGTACAGCCACCAAGCTGCCGAACTGCGTCCTCATGCTGTAGCTGGCTCCAAACCCAACTGTTTCCCAAGGTTGTAGACATTAAGAAGCCATGTGTCAACAATAGCTGGCAAATTATTTCTTGTAATATTGGTTCACGCTTATTATCTTGGGATCTTATTTTGTCATCTGTCATATATAAACGGTATAATCTTCCTCACAGAGGCATTCTGATAAATACTTGAAAAATATAAGATACATTTTGAGGCAATTGGGGTCATTTGGACATAGACTATCCATTAAATATTACAGAGTAATGTTAATTTTCTGAGCTGTGATGATGGTACTGTGGTTATACAGGAGACTGTCCTTGTTCATATGAGATGCACACTTAAATTTTTATGGATGAAGTATCACAATGTCTGCAACTTACTTTCAAATAGTTCATCCAAAACAAACATACAAGCACGTGTGTGGGCGCGCACGCACACACACACACACACACACACACACACACACACACACAGAGTACTAGAAACTGTGAAGCACTTGACTAACAAACCAATCTCATAAAAGTCTAGGGAACTGGTATCACCAAGTACTTCTGGTAGAGGGGGAGAAGGGGAGGAGTGGTTAAAGTAAGGAGGATTGGCTGAAATTCTGTGTAATTCCATCCTTCCTAGCTCCATGTAGTCAGGCTAATGAACCCAGAAGAAGATAGGATTATTCTCTAAAGAAGGTAAAACAGGGTTTTCTTTAACTGAGCTCGATAAATAAGGGTACTATCACAATAAGTACCCTTATTGTTGAGTGTCAGAGTACTTATTATAAACAAGGCTATTAATTGAATATTTATATCCTAAACACTGGGCAGTCCTGCCTTCTTCCTATACCTGGAAGCTAGCAACCAGACTTTAACATCCAGGAAAAAGCGTGGAAGATACTTCTTTACAGAGAATATGACTAGCCTGTAAGAAAAGTCCTGAAGATACTGCCATTGGGGTGTCACCAACAACACAGTCCAGCCAGATCCTCCTAAGCATAGGTGTGGGTAGATACCACCTATAGGTTGACCAACCCCATCCACACACCCCTACCCTTAAGAGCAGACAAACAAACAGCATGAGGCATCAGAGGAAGCCTCTAGCATAAAAAGCAGAGACAAAAACAAACATAAAAATGCAACAGAGACTATAAAGGGAGAAGAAAACTTAATTTAAAATATCAAAACTACCACTAATATACTCAGATAAGATGCTGCAACCACAAGAACAGAATACTATATAAAGAGATAATTTAGAGGGGCAAAAAAACTTTTGAAAATTAAAAACATGATAGCAGAAATGAAAAGCATTCAATAAAGGGATCAGAATACAGTCTCTTCCACAAAAAACTGTGAAACAGAAAGGATAAAATAGGAAAACTTAAGTGTCAGTCCGTAAAGTCCTACACATACATATAGTTTTGAGACAGAGTTTCACTCTTGTTGCCGAGGCTGGAGTGCAACGGCACAATCTCGGCTCACTGCAACCTCTGCCTCCCAAGTTCAAACAATTCTCCTGTCTCAGCCTCCCAAGTGACTGGGATTACAGGCATGCACCACCATGCCCAGCTAATTTTGTATTTTTAGTTGAGACAGGGTTTCACCATGTTGGTGAGGCTGGTCTCACACTCCTGACTCCAGGTGATCGCCTGCCTGGGCCTGTCAAAGCGCTGGGATAGGCGTGAGCCACCACACTCAGCCAGGAAGTCCTACATCTGAATAATAAATTCTAGAAAGAACAAACAGAACAAAGAAGTGGGTAAGACACAATGATGATATTAAATATTCAATTAATAGCCATGTTTACTGAAAGGCATGAGGTTCCACATTGAAAGGGCCCTTCAAGTGCCCAGCATGATTGGTTAAAAATAGACTCACACAAAGAACCATTATGAAATTTCAGAACACTAGAAACAAAGAGAAACATCCTACAAACTTCCAGAGAGGAAAAAACAGGAATTAAGATCTCAATTTACTTTCCACATACCCTTTCTCAAGAAACTATGGGAGGGAATGCTCTATGAAATCCACAATATATCAAGAAAGAGGACTTGAGACACAGGAATCAGGAAAAAGCCAGCACAAGAAGGAGAAGCCATGTCCCCGGGATGATGGTGAGGGGCACCAAAGGAGGGCTGTGCACCAGGTGCTCAGGGAAGTGTTTGGGCAGGACGTGTGGAGAGTTCTCCAAAGACGTAAATCCACAGAATCCCTCATGTGCCTGAATATAAACGGAGATTTGGACCACTGGGGATGAGTTTGGGGTTGAAATACTAATAATACAAAACTTAAAAGTAAGGCAGTTATTAATGCCAGGGAAATAAAAAGTGGTGCAGGAAAGGAAAATTTATCATTAATTGAAGGCTCGGCCACGAACACGGTTTATGTAATCATGGTCAGAGAACACAGATCTAACCAAAGTTGTATCTATATGGGCGTAATGGTGGGGATAGAAAAGGTGAACACATTATGATAAAAGGCAAAAGGACAGACAGAAACTAAATCTTCATTTTCCTTAGGGAGAAATCATTAGATAATTCCTCACGCTCATAAGTCAGAAAGCAGCAAGACCGTGTGGCATTGGGAAATCTGGATGTAAATCCTAAAAGGATGTGTCAAAAGAGTTTAAAGTGAAAGCCACTGAGGAGGGAACCATGAAGAATAAGGGGACAGGAGATCAACAAGGATTTTTGTTAGTTTTTTAGTAACAAATCTTTGAGCACACATATTAATATGTAAATGTGTGTATATAGAGAGACTATATATAAATATGCATTGTATGATTTTTATACAACTTTAAGATAAATTAAACATATAATTTTTGTATATATAACTTTAAGAAAATATGTATGTATGACTAAGAAAACAAAAATATTGTGCAACATTGCTTACCAAGTTATTATATATTTTTAAATTTCTTCTTTATTATCAAACTATAGATAAATTACAGAAGTATTTCATTCGATATTACCCATTACATTTGAACAATATAAAAGAAACTGCTTTCGTATTAAATTAGCATATTTAGGTGTATATGATAATTTTCATGGCATATATAAGTGCTGATTCCAAGTATTTTTGGCTAATTTCATTTCACAACATAATACAAAGTACTGGTGGTTATATAAAGTACTCACCAGCTCTAGTGGACTAAGACGTGCGCCAGAGATAGGCCTGGAATCAGAAGACTCAAAACTGGATGCATGGAGGCTAGCATAAGAGATGGTTCACAGTGTTAGTTTGTGAAGAATTATTTTATTTATAGTATGTATTAGTTAACTCTAGCTAAAAAAACAAGTCAAAGGATGCAATGCATAAGCCTTGAGGGAAAAAAAATTCATGTTATCGTACTTAAAACAATTTATTAACAAGTCTTTTGATTGCTTATAGGAAGATTAAAAAATACTGAATAATGAAAAGAAGAAGTGTATATAGGAATTCTTTAAAAAGCTTTGTTCATCTCACTTTATAAAGCTGGTATGGGACTACCACTAGTAACCTTTTCATTCCAAAGTAACTTCCTGAACCAACATTTGGAATTACCTACAGGAATCTTGAACAAAAGTCAAACTTAAAGAAACAACTACCTTGAAAATCAATCAATGTAATCTATCACACCACAGGCTAAAGAAGGTAAGTCACATAATCATATCAACAGATACAGAAAAAGCATTTGGCAAAATCCAACACCCATTCACAAAAAAAAAAATTCTTAGCAAACTAGGAATAGAAAAAAACTTCTAAGAATATCTGCAAGAAACCTACAGCGAACATCATACTTTATGGTAAGAAAGAGTTTTCCCACTAAGATGAGGAAGAAGGCAAGGATATCCCCTCTTACTACTGCTTTTCAGTATCATACAGGACATCCTAGTTAATGCAATAAGACAAGAAAAAGAAATTAAAAGCATACAGATTGGGAAGGAAGAAATAAAATTGTCTGTTTGCAGATAATATGATTATCTATGTAGAAAATCCTAAAGAATTGACAAAAAGCTCCTAGAACTAATAAGTGATTATAACAGGGTTGCAGGATACAGGGTTGGAAACTGAAATGAAAACATATTACTGTTTATGTTAGTACTCTAACAATTAAACACTTAGTTATAAATGTAACAAGATATGGATAAAATCTAGATGAGGAAAGCTACAAAATTCAGTGAAAGAAATAAAAATAAATAAATAAATGGAGAGATCTTCCATTTTCATGGGCTAGGAAGACTCAACATTGTCGATGTCAATTCTTCTCAACTTGATCTATAGATTCAATGCAATCTCAATCAAAATCCTGGCAAGTCATTTTGTGGATATTGACAAACTGATTCTAAAGTTTCTAGAGAGAGACAAAAGACCCAGAATAGCCAACACAGTGTTGACGGAGAAGAACAAATTCAAAGGACAAACACTCCCTGACTTTAAGACATATTATAAAACCACAATAATAAAGACAGTATAGTATTGGTGAAAGAAGGGAAAACTAGATCAATGGAACGGAATATAGAGAGTCCAGAAATAGACTGACATAAATACAGTCAACTGATCTTTGGCAAAGGAGCAAAGGCAATACAATGGAGAAAACATAGCCTTTTCAAATACTGGTGCTGGGCTCTTTCCCTGCCACCTCCAAGTTGCACAGAGTTGGAGGCTTGATGAATTCCAAGATTCACCTTCACTCATAACCCATTGCCATGGCTGAGGAAGGCACTGCTGCTGGAGGTGCAGCAGATGTTAATACTGCTTTAAAAGAGGTGAAAACCATCCTCATCCAGGACAGCCGAGCACGTGGAATGTGAGAAGCTGTCAAAGCCTCAGACAAGAGCCAAGCCCATCTTTGTGGCTTTCATCTAACTGTGATGAGGCTGTGTATTTCTTTTTTTTTTTTTTTTTTTTGAGACGGATAATTTGAAAGCCTTGTATTTGAGCTCTGAAATT